AGACCAAGACATGGAAGCAACCGAAGTGTCCTACAATAGATGATTGGCTAAAGAAGCTGTGGTACATATGTGCAATGGAATATTATTCAGCCATAAGAAGAAATGAAATACTGCCATTTGAGACAACATGGATGGACCTCGAGATAATCATGCTAAGCAAAATAAGCCAGACAGAAAAAGTTGAAAATCACATATATCGCTTATATGTGGAATATAAACCTAAAAGCAACAGATGAACAGGACAAACAAACAGAGACTCATGGACATGGACTATAGACTAGCGGTTACGAGAAGGTAGGGTGTGGGGGAGGGGGCGGTAGACGGGGTAAAGGGGGTCAAATATATGGTGACAGAAAGAAATGTAACTACAGGAGGTGAACACACAGTCTAAATATATATATGCCTTACTGTTAAAGTGTATAGATGAAAATTATTGGATTTCGTTAATCAATGTCACATAAAAAATAAATTAATAATAATAAAAACATAAAAAATAAAAATAAAGGGTATTAACACAGAGTACTTGCTTCTTACGAAGGAACTGGTTTTGTAGGATGTGTTATTGCAATCTCCAATCTTTCCTCGCCAAATGTTTGAGCTAGTTTAAACTGGGAACCTTGATCATCCATCAGTTATATTCCAATGCAGGTCTGACTATAACATGCATCAGTGTAAGGAAAACCAAAGCCATTTTAGGAGTTTTTAAATTGTGAAAGATTGTCATTCGCATAGCATTTCTACTTCTATTTTATTCATGGAAAGTCATCCAATAACATATAAAGAGAAAATGTAAATGTGTGTATACAATATAATTATTTCAGAATCAATATGCTTTTCTATTAGCTTTTAAAATCTGTTTGCATAAAAAGTTTCTTTTCCTACCCAGCCCTTCAGAGGGTTTCTGTGAGCAGAAGTGACTAGGGACATGATCTCTGCAATATTTCATTTCGTTATCTCTTATTACTACATGGTGGCCCAGAGTGTGGCATGAATAAAGCTGTCTTGTCATCAAAATGCATTCATTCATTTAACAAGGTCCTGAAAATAATGGAATGGTTGCTAAGCAATGGAGAAATTATACATTCCCTGGGATCTGTGCAGATTCTAAAAGCCAAAGTAGTTCTGGGAATTGGTATTAGTGTCTCTAGAACAATTAAATAGAAAATTAAGAAAAAAATTAAGAAAGTAACATGCTCTACCTAATAGTCAAAAGGCAATATCTTTTTATTTTTCCTTCTTTCTGACCGAGGTTTCCAAAGTAACAATAAACGTTAGGGTTTATATGGATTACAGATAGCTGGTGAATTTATATTCATTCAATTTAAAATAATGATGGCATGAGAGAATGTATTCTTTTAATTAGGAAGTAAATTTATCTGAGATATATTAATCACATTTGAACTGCAGAAATACATGCTTAATGCAGAAAATTTAGATAATGTACAGACACATATTTTAAAATTTAACAAACAAACAAATCATCCATAATCCAACTCTTCTCAAAGAGCAAATTTTAATATTTGGGGATATGCCTATCTGACACTTTTATAGATATATGTAGAGTTATTAAGTTATTATCTATGATTAGTTAACTTGGTACACAACTATAAACACACACTCGTTCTAAATGCTATGGATATAGTATTCTCATTAAAACAAACATTTAGGTTGTTCCTAGTTGATCACTATTATAAATAACTCTTAATTTTCCTATATAAATATTTTTAAAAGTAATTACTTTTAAAGAAGCACCTCAGGAATGGCAATAACACCTTGGGGATAGGGCTTTTCCTACCGAACAAACTCTGAGTCAGGTCAAATA